AAGAGCGGCCTGATTATCACAAAAGAGAAGTGCCGGTCCAGTGTGAGAAATGTGGAAGTCCTTTAGCAGAGCAAGCACCCACAGAATTTCACAAGTAGTGTTTGCCATAGATCTATATTCTGCCTCAGCTGAAGATCTGGATACAATTTGTTGTTTCTTTGATTTCAAGATATAAGAGATGAACCCAAAAACACACAAAAACTAGAAATTGACCGTCGTGTGTCGGGACAAGTTGCCCAATCAGAATCGGTATAAGCTTTTAATTGAATAGTCGAATTGGAACGGAAAAAAAGACCTTGACCTGAGGTTCTTTTGATGTATTGTAGAACCCGAAGAGCTGCTTGCATATGAGGAACACGAGGAGCAGCCAAAAATTGGCTTAATCTATTCACTGAATAACTCAAATCAGGTCTAGTAATGGTGAGATATAGCAGCTTACCAATGAGACGTCTGTAGGTGGAAAGGTTATCTACCAAATCACCATCTTCTTGCAAAAGTTTGAGATTTGGTTCCATTGGAATAGATGTTGGTTTACAGCCTACGTATCCTATTTTGAAAAGCAATTCCAATGCATCTTTCCATTGACAAACTGAGATTCCAAAAGTGGTTCTAGCAACTTTCAAGCCCAAAAAATATTTGAGATGTCCCAAATCTCTCATTTTGAATCGCTTACTAAGAACTTGTTTAAGCTCAGTCACGGCTGCGTCATTGTTGCTAGCAATTATTATGTCGTCAGCATATACCAAAAGAGCCAAGAAAATGGAACCCTGTCTCTTGATGAACAAGGAATGATCATTGGCTGATTGAATAAATCTTGTTTCTAGCAAAACATTTGAGAACTTACTAAACCATTGATGAGAGGCTTGTCGCAGCCCATATATTGACTTCTGCAATTTACAAACAGCATTAGGAGGGAAACTCTCCCCCTTTCGGCAAGAATATCCTGGCGGAATACTCATGTATACTTCCTCAGTGAGGTCACCATGGAGAAATGCATTTGTAACGCCAAGTTGAGTGAGAGTCCATTTAAAAATGGCAGCCAAGGAAAGCAAAAGTTTGATAGTAACGAGTTTGGCTACAGGGGATAAAGTATCTAGAAAATCTATACCTTCTTGTTGCATGTAACCTTTAGCTACGAGGCGCGCTTTGTATCATTCCACAGTACCATCCGCTTGAAACTTTATTTTGTACACCCATTTGCAACCATTGGGTTGCTTTCCTTGTGGAAGAAAAACAAGTGACCAAGTACCATTGCCTTCCAAAGCCTGCAATTCAACATTCATTGCATCTCGTCATTCCTAAAACTAAACAGCCTGTGAAAAGGTTTGAGGTTCAGTTTGTGTACTAATGGCTAGAGTGAAGATGCGATGAGGTTGTGAGAGTTTATGGTAACTTAAAAAGGAAAAGATGGGATCGAAAGAAGCTATGGAAGATGAAACAGGAAAATTAGGAAGTGAGTTGGTGGCCAAATAGCAATGGTAGTCCTCAAGATATGCTGGTCATTTTGTTGTGCGAAGTGGACGAGAAATGGGTTGTAAAGCTTGATTTTGATCAACATCACGAGTGAGAGTATTGGTAGGAGGCTCGGATGATGGGGAAACAAATTGAAGAGGAAGCTGGTGTTGAGGCTTAATAGGACGTAGTATGACACGGGTAGAGAACAAGTCAAGATGAGCACTATCTAGCTGTGATTGAACAAAAGGGAATATAGACTCATGAAAAACCACATTCCTTGTGATATATATCTTATGACTTTCTAAATCAAGCAATTTGTATCCTTTATAATCAAAAGGATAGCCAATAAAAATAGTGGCTCGGGCTCGAGGAGTAAATTGTGTTCGTTGGCTAAGGAGAGTTGATCCATAACACAGACATCCAAAGGAACGGAGATGAGAATATGTTGGCTTCTTGTTATTTAACAACTCAAAAGGACTTTTGTTTGACAACAAAGGTGAGGGTGTCCTATTAATCAAATAGACAGCAGTCAAAACACATTCATCCCAATAGCAAAGTGGAATATGAGATTGAAAAAGAAGTGCTCGTGCCACATTAAGTATATGTTGGTGCTTTCTTTCAACTACCGAATTCTACTCATGAGTTTCAACACAAGAATGATAAGGGAGAATTCCTTTAGAACGAAAAAAAATATGGAATGAAAGCTCAGGGGCATTGTCAAATCGAACAGATTTAATGGAAGTGTTATATTGCGTCAAAATCAGATTGTAAAATTCTGGAAAATGGTTATAACATCTGACTTTGAAGTTAAAAGATAGACCCATGTGGCTCTAGTACAATCATCAACAATAGTGAGGAAGTATTTGTGACCATCTCGTGTATTAACATGAAAGGGAACCCATATATCAATATGCACTAGATCAAAAGGTCGTGAAGACATGATTATTCGAAATAAACGGAAGATGTTTTTGCTTAGTCAAATGACAAATTCGACAATGTGAAGATAATGTAGATAAGGGATTAGAAATTTATAATTCATTATGGAGCAATTGAAGTTTTACAGCAGAGGGATGTCCTAATCTAGAATGCCAAATATCACTTTTGCTGATTACAGAGGATGAAGAAAATGAATTACAATAAGCAACTCCTAAATCTAGAAAATATAGATTTCTTTGTCTTCTACCCCTCCCAATCATCAAGCCCTGAGTGAGGTCCTGGATAACACACGAATTGGAAAGAAAGTTAACACTACAGTTGTGGCTGAGTGTGAGTGGACTGACACTGAGTAGATTAAAGGCAAACAATGTAACAAAGAGTACATCATGTAATATCAAGGATTTGGACAATTTCACGGAGCCTATGCGCTCAATTACTACGGCATGACCGTTGGGCAACGTGACAGTGTTATTTAAGATAGGAATTAAATGAGAAAACATAGAAAAATCACAGCAAACATGATGGCTAGCATAGGTGTTAATAACCCACGTGCCAGACGGAATGGAATGAGATGAAACGGAAGATATGGAAAATAAGTTACCATAGATTTGAGAGACGGAAGGATTTTTAGCTATTTGTGTGTCAGGAGTGGCGACCGCACGATGATGAAGTTGCGAACTTAGGTAAGCAATCAGCTGCTGGACTTGATCGGTGGTCAAGAGACCATTCGGTGGAAGCGAGCTCATCGTTATTGCAGTTGAAGGTGAGATATGAGATCGATCAAGAAAACCCATGTGTTGAGATGAGCTGGATTGAAGGGAGCCCACTGAAGATCATTGGGTCATTTGAGTAGAATAGGCCTTGAACTTGGGCTTCTACCCATGTGGAAACCAATGTAATTTGTAGCACTTATCTATGGTGTGTCCAGCCAACCCACAATCCGTACAAACAGGTCGATCTCTTCTGGGTTTGCTTAATGAAGATGCGGCCGCCACAGGGAGGGCCGACGGCGAAGCAATAACGAAGGGACCCGGCGATGAGGCCTGAAATGCCAAAGGATTGGCCGGACCAGTAGATCCGGTATCAATTATACGTTGTGTCTCTTCCTACACAATAAGATTGAATACTTTCGAAATTGAAGGTAGAGGATCGTTCAGCAAGATCTGTCCTCTGTTTGTTCCATAGGACTCATTCAAACCCATTAGAAATTGCATGACATATTCTTGTTGTTGATAGTCAAGCCAAGCTTTCATACCTCCACAGCGGCATACCGAAATAGGCTGGAAGTGCTTGAGTTCATCCAATAGAATCTTCAAGCGTGTATAGTAGGTATTGATATCAAGAGAAGCTTGACACAACCCTTGTAGCTGCTGCTTAATTTGAAAAATACGTGGTGCGCTGCTTTGATGAAATCTCTCATGCAAATCTGTCCAAACAGCCTGAGCAGTGTCCAGATACAGAAGACTATCTGCAATCTCCTTCGAAACAGAATTGAGTAGCCATGAAATCACCATATTGTTGCAATGGGACCTGATCCAAGCAAGAGGCGCTCCAGCCGATGGTTTTGGAATAGACCCATCAACGAAACCGAGCTTGTGTTTGGCATTGAGAGCCATGAACATGGCCTTGTTCCAAGTGTTGTAATTAGGGCCAGTGAGAGGATGAGATACCAAGATGAGACCAGGATGATCTCCGCTATGGAGGAAATATGAGATGTTTGCACCGTCCATAGAGGTCGGATCCTGCTGATCCATAGTGCTAGATGATGAAGGTGGAATCAATGGCTAGAACCGATTGGTGTTGTGCTGTTGACCTCCACGAGCCATATTCAGAGATGAAATAGAGCAGGGAGAGCAAATTTCTCTAATACCATTTTACAAAATAATACTGAGGAAGAAGAGAGAAATCATTCTCATTCATTCACTGAAAAATACTGTAGAATACAACGCATATATATAGCAGAGTCAGGTTCCTAACATAATTCTTTGCTTACACAATTCGATGTAATAAAATGGTACACCTCAGTAAAACAAACTTATTCTAGAATAGTCTATTTGTTATAACAGAACAAAGGGAAAAAAATAAAATGAGCTGGAAAATAATGTAAAACTCCTGTAATAGTACGAGAAAGAGTTATATGATAAAAATTATGATTGTTGGGTCTCTTATGTAAAACTTCTCATATGTATACTACCCCATCTAGGGTAATCAAACCACCAACAGTGTATATATATATAATCATTTTCAATTACATACACGAAAACCCATTAACGAAGGTTAAAGGTGAATTCTTAATCCGCATAATTATGCGTGCTACTTTGTTCTTTAAATTCTTGGTTCCATGAATGTTTTCTTAAAAAAAAAAAAAAGGAACAGATCGTTGATCCTGTTGCTAAATCACATCACACTCACCTCATCTTCAATTTCAAACTATAATATAAAATTGAAAACGAAAAACAATTAACAAAAGTTAAAAGAGCCTTATTTAAACAAGCGTAAAACTAATTGACCTTACACTACGTTTTTAACTCGTGCTTGTAGCCAATATAAGGTGGCACTATTCCATAATATGTGACACAAATTAGACTTTGACAAGTTTTTGAGGAATCTTATAAAGAAGAGTCCAATATTTCTTTATAGAAGTGCTTCTTAAAGTCATCAACATGATCAACTTGAAGACACAATACAACAATAAGAGATCCAATATCTCCACTAACATTATCACGAAATAGCACCGAGTCTCCATCTATTTCAAGATTTCCTGGCCCGAAATATATCTCCTTTCCCCATCCAAAATCAATCCCATAAGCAGGCAAATTTACCCAATTGGTCACCGCAACATTAGGATTCCCAAGCAAATTAATATTATTCTCCACAAATAATGAGTACAAGTATCGAAACCTAGACAAGTCTTGTTGATTCTTTATGAAATCAATGGCGGATAAGACGTACTCATTTGTCACCTTCTCAATTGCTTCCCTTATTCTGCTTGCTCCATAACCCAAAGGTTTAGCCACCAAATCACCGGCTAAGCTCCGAGCTTTGACATCGAAAATTGCATTCCCAAAGTACTCTTCAGGTAGAGCCGCCGGCTCCAAACGACGTCGCGCATCAATGGTGACGATATTTGTTGTTTCTTGCTCATCTTTGTTCTTCCTCACCTTGGTCATGCACCTCCAAATGTGTGCAGCCAAAACCTCGTATCGAGTGTAAACGACACGTTTTCCTTCGTCGTTCTGAATGTTGTCGCTGGCAAACTTTCGTAATTTTTCAACTTGATATTTGCTAAGCTTTAGGGAGATCACTGTTCTTTCAATCATATTTTTCACTTCTTGATGATCATCAGAAGTTGGTTTCTCTATTAGTAGCCGCGGAAGGTATAAGAAATCCGTGGAATGATCAAACACTCGAGTTGTTCTCGTAATTCTTGAAGGGTTTCGAACATGACATGGCATTTTCTGCATTGGTTCTTCCCTGGAAACCCTAGCCCATTCCGTGACAAAGTGGGCCATGCTTAGACCGTCGGCGACTACATGCGAAAACGACAGGCTTAGGCTGATCCCACCACACTTGAATCTTGTGAGCTGCACAAACAAAACGGGCAGTTCGTGAATCGGGACACTACAGTCTATAGAAGGGAAAAGGTTTTGATAATTCGGAGTGGACGGAGCAAAATCTCCGAATTCGACTAGCTCAACGTCGAATTCCACTTCAAAAAACGCGACGCCGCGACCATCGCAATCGAGTTCGAGACGGCCTTTGTGGTGGTCATTTAGAGTCCAGCGCAAGCGCCCAGCGAGTGGATAGAAGGGCACCAAAACTCGTCTCAATGAATCTCTAAGGGAATTGAAAACGGCCTCGCTTGGTGTGAGCCAAATTTTTGGTGATTGATAGAAGTAGATAACCTGTGTGTGAGTGAGGCTGTTGATCTGATCAAGTTCTGATAAAGATTGGCGACCTTTACATGTTGGTTCATGAATTGGTCTCACCATGCAGAAATGCTTGATGCTTAGTTTCATTTTTTCTTTTGGACAAAGTTTAAGTCACTGATTTCACCATGCAACAATACTTCATGTGTATTGAATTATATAATACGAATTATAATTGATATATGTGTGTTATATGTAGTAAAAAAGTTGATAAAACAATTTTAGCTATCGGCTATACTTTAGACTACAAACAAGAGTTAATTATAAAGAACACTAGATACAAGAAAAGAGAGAGTTAAAACAAACAAAAAGCAAATATTGCATATGCAGCTATTGCCGTAGGAATAAAGTGGCCGGCACTACAGAACATGGCTGGTGCCGGCTAAATGAATATTAATATATCCATAGGATGTAAGAGTTGTTTTATTTACTAACAGGAAACTATATATTATATGGGTTTCTCTTCCATACTTTATGAAGGACTGTATTGCACCATAACATGTAGAAATAAAAGGTGCAATACGAAATTATTTATTTATATAACAAGTATTATATATTTGGAAGTGTAACACTATCTATGTTAAGTAAGGGTGCGTTTTGTAGCGCTTTTTTGAGCCCAAAATCACTTCTCTAACCATGATAATGGTATTTGATAAAAACTATAAAAAGTAATTTTTAAAGAATTTTTGAAGAATCTACAACAAAAATCAGAAGCAACTCAAATGCAACTTTGACTTTTAAATTGTGCAGAAATCAACATAGTATAATTAATGATTATCAACAAAGTTATATTAAATAATTAATTATTAATTACTAATTATATTTAATTATATTATATATTAATTACTAATTAATAAATAGATATACTTAATAACTAATAAATAGATAGTAATTACTTAATTATTAATTAAATATTAATTTATTACTATTAAGTTTTTAATTTTGTTAATAAAATAATAAATAATATAGTAATTATTTATTTAGTTAAAGATTAATTTTTAAAAATTAATTATATAACATATTAACAATAAAACAAGTAATAAGAGGTTATTAAATAAATAAATAATAATTAATATTTCAATCATTTATTATGGTAATTTTAATCTATTAATTAGTAAATAGTTGGGAAATAAAAAAATAAATAGTAATTACTCAATTAATAGTTAATATTAAATTATAATTATCAATATGTACTACATTAATCAATAATAATTTATAATTCATAATTAGTAATTAATCATTATAAAAAGAATAATTACCAAAATTTGATCATGTGATATATCAAATAATAGATTATTAAATAAACATTAGTAACTAATTAAATAATTATTTAAATATGTAACTAAAAGTTAATAATTTAAGTAGTAAAAGGAATATTAATAAATTATGTATATACTAATTATTTTTCTGAATACACTAATTAATTCATTATAATCTAATAAATATGAGTACATTACTAACATATTACTTATAATTAATTACTAATTACTATTTTTAAATATTTATCATATTAATTTATTATATATAAAGTTAAATTACTAATTTACTCATTAATTTATTATATATAGGTCTAAAAAGGTCTAAAAATGGTAAGTTGTGCCTACATCCTACCTTAATCCGGACGATGGAGCCCAAATTTACATCTACATAAATTCCACCGGGTACATATTTAGTTTTTTTTAAGCTATTAATCTTAATATTTTTAATTTATCTTTTAAAATATTTCTTTTGGAAAACCTTTTAAAATATTTTGTTGAAGTATATCGTTTTTTTTTTTTTTGAAGATTTATTAAAATATATCTTTAAATAGTTTTTCACATAATCCTCTAAAATTTTATTTTTCTCAAATACTGATAATACTTTTTAACTAATTGCCTTTCTGAAATAATTTGTTCTTGATGTGCCCGTTCTTCCTTTTTTTTTTTGGGTTAAATTTCATAATCTTCTAATAAGTTTAGACCATCAATTTTAAAAGATTTGGCATATTAGTCATAATTTGAAAAAGAACTACAAGGTGGTTATATTCATTTATATTTGCATATATACTTGAGATGCAAATGCTATGAAAAGCTTCCCACAAAATTATTTTTGTTGGGAAACTTTTCTTTTAAATCTATCAGAGACTAAATTACTACTTTGTGTTTGAATCAAGTTTAACTACTTTGAGAGACAAACATTATTTTGTTTCTAAATATCAAAATAACACATTTTAGACATGAAAAATTACTTTGTCCCTGAAAATGTTATATATATATATATATATATATATATATTGTCGCTGAATATTGAAACCAACTTATTTTTGGCGTGGAATTTTCCCTCCAAATTCATTTGAGACTAAATTAATATTTTGTTTATTAATGCTTTATTTAGAGATAAAATATTTCGTCTCAAATTAAAGATTAAAAAAAAAAATTGAAAAGAGACAGAAGTTTTAGAGACAATTATAAAGTAAGCTTTTAGAGACGAAATTAAGTTTCACGTTTGAAAATGTATCGTCTCTAAAATTGCTTTTCTTATAGGCTTGTAGTGACATATTTCAAGTTCAACCATGAATTATAAGTTGAATAATTAGCATATTTATTCAATATATTTTGTGATGAAAAACAATTATAAATGATTTGTGCAGTCGAACATTGTTAATCATACATTATTTTCATATGAAATTTTCGGGGGGAAAAAGCAGCGGTAAAAAAAGGAACATGTCCTCTTATTAGTAAGTTATTAAACATTCTTGGGTAAAAAGTTAATATCAAAGCTGCGTGTATAAATTTGTTAATTACTTCCCTGAAAAGAGGAAAAAAAAAAAGAAAAAAAATGATCGTACTGTTTAAAAATCCATATTATTCAGAACACCGAGTGAAAACATAAGATAAATAAAAGATTTCGTAATGTAGGAGCCCAATGGCATCAATATCCAAAAGTAATGAGGCAAAAGATAGGCTGGCCCCCTGCATACCTTCCTTTTCGTCGAGGGGACCAAATCCAATCTCTCCTAATATTCTCAAGGTAATCTGAAATTTTAATCAATCTTATTGATGATATTCAAGTTTATATCTTTTAGTTAAGATCTTGATCTATTCATAATTATATGTAATGATGACAATCTGTAGCCAGATTTAGCAGCACCAGGGGCAAACATTTTAGCTGCATGGTCACCAATTGCCTCAGTTTCAGAAGGTTTTGAAGATGACAAAAGAGTAGTGGCATACAATATTCTCTCTGGCACATCAATGTCTTGCCCACATGCTTCGGGGGCTGCTGCCTACGTCAAATCATTCCACCCGACATGGTCTCCGGCCGCCATCAAGTCGTCTCTTATGACCACCGGTAATAATGGTTGCATTATATAGATCATATGATCCCATTTCTTAATTTCACTAATTACACCAATCACACATTTCTTTTATTTTTTTTTCTTTTATTTAATTGCGTAACCCGTCGAAACATCAAACTTGTGAAAAAACTTGCACATTGTGTAATTTTGATTAGAAACCATTACTAGAAAATGTATGCTTATTGACACAGTCAATGCGTCCGTACGTACTCCTAGACATCAGGATGTTTTCTCAACGCTACTTGTACGCACCTCTAAAGTCCCCTAATTATTTATGACCTGACCATAAATAATTTCTCGTACATACGTATAATTTGCAGCAAATCCAATGAGTGCCGACCTTAACTCCGAAGCCAAATTCGCATACGGATCCAGACAAATAAATCCTCTCAAAGCTGCATGCCCTGGTTTAATATACGACGCAGTCGAAGATGATTACAAAAACTTGTTGTGTGGACAAGGCTACACTACAAAGCTATTGCAAATAGTTACCGGAAACAGTAACAGCACATGTCCTGATCAAGCCAGTCTTGAAAAGACGACGACAACAACAATAACAAGCCTTAATCCTAATTTAATTGGGGTTGGCTATATGGATTTTACTTTTCCACACGGCTCTGTTCGAAATTAAACTTTCCTAAAGGCCTAGATCTAAAATGTCTTTCCTAACGACTTCGGTCTACGTAATTCTTGGTCTACCCCTCCCTCTCCTAGTATTAGGTATAAGAATGTCCTCCTAAGCATGAACTGGTGCTTCTAGCGGTCTACGTTGGATATGTCTGAACCACCTCAAGCGGCCTTCGCGCACCTTATATTCTATTAGTGCTACACCTACTTTACAATGAATAACTTCATTCCTTATGCTATCCATTCTTGTATGGCCACTCATCCATCTTAACATACGCATTTTTGTCACACTCATCTTAGATATATGTTGTCTCTTAATGGTCCAACATTCACTATTATACAACATAGCTGGGCGAATTGCAGTCCTATAAAACTTTCCTTTCAACTTAATAGACATCTTATCATCACATAAAACTCTCATAGCATTCTTCCACTTAACCCACCCTGCCTTAATCCTATGTTGAATATCTTCTTCTATATCTCCTTCATACTACACTATAGACCCAAGGTACCTAAACTTCCAAGAAGTTCCAATCTCCACACCATCTAAAGAAATTCCATCACTCTGATTACTTGAGTTACTAAACCTACAATGCATGTATTCAGTTTTTATCCTACTTAACTTAAATCCCGTCGTCTCAAGAGTCTGTCTCCACAATTCTAACTTACGGTTAACTCCTTCCCTATGTTCATCAACTAAAACTATATCATCTGCAAAAAGCATATACCAAGAAACTCTATCTTGGATTTCTCTTGTTAGCTCATCCATCACGATAGTGAAAAGATAAGGACTAAGAGCAGATCCTTGATGAAGGCCGATCTGAATAGGGAACTCTGTCGTGTAGCCTCTAGCAGTTCTCACACTCGTGACCACTCCATCGTACATGTCCTTAATTACATTAATATACTTCACATGTACTCCTCTCTTTTCTAGCACCCACCATAAAACTTCCCTCAGCACCCTATCATATGTCTTTTCATATGATAGGGTGCATATGATAGGGTGCCGAGGGAAGATTTTATAGAACGACACCGGACCTAAATTATCCTACCTTTGCTCTTTCTACGACACCTTCGCAAACAATCAATCATGTCTTTAACAGGACTGTCACAAACGTTGGATCACCGACCTCTTCGTATAAAGCTAACTTGGTTGCCCCACCAGGGCTTAAAATCACAGTGAATCCTAGTGTTTTGTCGTTTAAATCCCTTGAGGAGAAGCTATCCTATGCGGTGACAGTGCGGGGGACAGTAGATAAGAAAGTTGTGGTCTCTGCTTCTCATGTGTGGGATGATGGTACTTACCAAGTTAGGAGCCCCATTGTTGTTTATGTCCCGGCATAAAAGGAAATTTTGATGTCGTTTATGGATTGAACAAAGTTACTGATGTGTTGGGATGCCTGCTTACGTATTACTAAAGGAAAAATAAGATAAGGAATTGTAGAACTGATATTTTTAGATATGGTGAACGTTTGATCTTTGTTATACAATATATATATATATATATTATGTTCTTGATGTAACTATTTGATCGTAATTCGTAAGTATGTGTTTCTTGTTACTCAAATTACTATTCGGCTTCATTCCATTCATGGACAAACCAAGGGGAGATTCCTAACTAGATTTCATATGACTAAATATTTTCTGCTAATTCGAAGTTGGCCGGATGGCAAAGCTTCTCATCATCAACTTGTCTATCATCATGTCAAGTTAAATTCTTCATATGATTTGTATTTTGGAGCAATCGCTTCAAACGCGGTTCCAATATAATGCATGCACTGTAAAAGAAAAAAAAAATCAGCTTTGCTATATGCTGTCTAATAACCTGTCTATTTATTTGTTTCAAAAGAAGTTGCATGTAATTTGTAAGGTTAACGTATAGAAAAATTGAAGAAAATATTGCGTACAAGGTCATGTCCAACCGAAAATGAAGTGGGGTCGCTTGGAAATTGAAAATTCTATGGAGATGCATGGGTCCAACCAGGGCAATGCTCTTGATCCAATGCTATAGCACAGCGGTGGTGTTGTACACTGTCCATTAACAAAAAGAAAGGAGTAGATTTCAATGTATGAGATCTATATGTGAGATCCATTTTCTATTAATGGTGCTTAGCGTTCATGGTTTCCGGAGAATTTTTTCTAAAAAGACTCATTTATGATGCAAATACTATTCCATTTTATGGGCTTGAACTATTGTGATGATCCCGTTTATTACATTCTTTTTTTTGTGGGAAAAAATAGATAATTTATCCTTAATAGTATATGAGTATAACTTTTACCCTTTACTCTTAATAAATACTTTTTGTTAGTGCAATTATTTACCTAAAAAGATTATGAATAAAAAGTAAAGGGTAAAAATCCTGATCCATACACTTTTAATAGGTATTTGTCAAGATACAAATAGCAATATGACCACTCTTAAGAAATTGTAGTTTTAGCTACAAAATTTTCAGCTACCTATGTAAATTTGTAGCTAAAAATAAGTTTTTGAGACAAAATAAATTTTGTGACTAAATATTTGGTCACAAAATTTATTATTTATCATTTTCTCTGCAAGGATGTTATTATTGCTCCAGTTTTTTGCTATTTTTTCCACCACTTCAATTCTTATCATTTTTCTGAATGAGCTCTCCTGATTTTACCTTACTCACAAGCTCTGGAGAAGTTTGCCCCACATGTTCGACATGCAAGACTACATTAGCACTCTCTTTGTGTGCTTTCCCTGTTTTTCTTTATTTTTTCTTTTCATTTCTTTCTAATGAAGCATGCCTACTATTTTACATGCTATTATCTTCTTTTAAATCAATACATATATATAGTCTGTCTTTATTTCAGGTGAAGTGGTGACTAACCATGATGAGCTCATGTCCAATTTCTTTGCACAGCCAGACGCCCTTGCATATTGGAACGTAAGTTTGATGCTCGCTCCTCCACATAATCAATCAGTGTGAAGTGATTCACTTGTAAAACTAAAGTACAGAAAAATAATTGCAAAAAAGGTTGAAAGTAAGTAAAATATATTTTGCGACGACATAATGTTGCATTATATCAATGATGAAAACGTCTGTCAAAGATCCAAATCTCTAACCAAAGTCCCATTTCTTGTAGACCATAGAGCAGTTGCATAAGGAGAATGTTCCACAACATCTTATCTCTCATAAGGTAATTTCCTCTCAGCTTTATTGATTGCCATACAGTTCAATGGATATTTCCTCTCAGCTTTATTGATTGCCATACAGTTCAATGGATATTTCCTCTCAGCTTTATTGATTGCCATACAGTTCAATGGATAGTGCTAAGTAATTTTTGTAATATTTTTCACAGACCTCCTGAAATCGGCCTTCTCTCAAGGTCTTCTGTTACCTTTACTGAATGCTTACAATATTGGACAGGTTTGCGGTTTCTTTGATTCGTTGTTTCATGGATTTTCTCTTTCAATTGCTTAAGGCATCCAAGGACATTCAGTTCACTTATTTGCAAAAATTAACATCTTTTTTAGCCAATGCTATTACACTGATCACTTGTAATACTTTTGTTTGTTCTGTTAATGAGTGGCTAGGATGGATTGTCTTCTAATCTCCTTTTTCATGAATATATGGTGGGAGATGTGCTACATGCGATGCCTTTTTTTATTTTTTATTTTTTATATATTGCATTGCGTATATAAGCTAATTTTCCTTGTGAACAAGATCTTCATTTCTTGCATATATAGTTGTTTACTAATATTTCATTTATTTAAGGCTATTATTGACTAGTGTTTCGTTGGTTACTGACTAGGTGAAGTGGGTAAACATCCTTGAGCAGCAAGAAAGGATAGAATTGAAGAGCTTCACTATAACACAAGGTACCAAAATGATTTTATCCCTATATATATTCTAGTAAAAAATGCATGCATAACTCATTTAAAATAACAGTTATACAAATCGTCCAGAAAAAAAAAAAAAAAAAAAAAAAAAATTAAAAAAAAAAGTTAAAAAAATCCCCAAAAAAAAAAAAAAAAAAAAAAAAAAAAGAAAGGATAGAAAAAAAGTAATAATGGATATATTATTGTTAGTAACTACATTAATAATTAAATTATATACATACTAAATTAATACGCTAAATAATTAAAAACAATATAGTAATTAGTATATAAGTAATTACTATGTTAGTAATTTAGTCATAATTATTAGTTTATAAGTAATTAATTAGTGCATTAAAAAACCATTAGTATATTAATAATGTATTAATATTTTATTTTTTAAATAAATAATTAACTTTTGATTACATAATTGAATAATTAGCTAATTAGTTACTAATGTTTATTAATAGCCTGACATATTGCATGATCAATTCTTGATAATTATTCTTAAATAATCATTAATTACTATTAGCAGATATAATTTAATATTAATTGTTGATTGGTAATTACTATTTATTTATTAGTTATCGACTACTTACTAATTAATAAATTATAATCATTTCATTATATAATAAATGTATTAATTATTTATTTAATAACCTATTATTAATTATTATATTATTAATATATTATATAATTAATTTTTGGAAATTTACCTCCTGAAAAATAAAAATAAAAAGCCAAAATGAAAAAATAAATGAGTATTAGGACAAAATGAATGAAAACGATTAAGAAAATAAAATTTCAGGACAAAAATATAAAAAATGACTAAATTGAAGAAATAAATAAACTTTAAGGTAAAAAATAAAAAAATAATAATAAAAGAAAGGACTAGAAAAAAAGAGGGGTAAAAACCAAGAGACAAAAGTTAGAAAAGTTAAAAAAAAAAAAAAATCTTATAGATTATATATATATATATATATATATATATAAGTATATTTAATGAGATAGGACGATTGTATTGGAGAAATAAAAATATATAAAGTAATTGGCATTACAAATTTTACTGAAAGAGAATGTTAAATTGGAATTTTACATTGAACTTTCTTTCTCCATCTCCCAAAAATCCGTCCAATATTGGAGGATTGCTTTTGGTGGATTCACAACTCTTAGGAGAACCCTTCCACCAATCCATCCTACTAAATAAGAACCCTTCTTTCCTCCCACCCATTTCCTTTTATCCTCCAATCCACCCTACTTATTTATCGTCTTCTACTGACTAAAGGACTAATCTAGTAAATCATTAGTGATAATTCAGTAGATTATTTCTGGTTCTGTTGTCGATGACTAAAGCAGATAAATTCAACAAAACTCATTAGGTTGACCTTTTACCTATCATCTTAAGTAACATGACTCTCCAATGCGACACAATTCTTAACAAGTAATATGGTAAAGATTTCTCTTTTCTTTTTTTTTTTTTTTTTTGAGAAGAGGAGATAAATACTCTCTTAAATTGCATTAGTTTTAATTTTTTTAAAAATTTTACTCTTAATTAATATTATTTTAATTAAATATTATATTAATTAAAAAAATATTAATTAAGATTAAAGAGTATACCACACATAAGTTCAGTGGCTAATTCATATACTTGGGCTTCAGAATCTTGACAGTTCGAACCCAATAGTTGATCCAAACCTATGATTCTGCCCATTTTACAACATTCCAACGTGGCCTCATTCCTTTGCTCGGTTTAGCGAAAGCAGTTCAGATTCTTGAATACTGAATTCTATCCACAAAAAATTGCACCACTTATTTCACTTGTCTGTTTATCACCCAATCAAAAACTGCTTCCTATCGACGGTTTCCCAAAAGGGGCAAGAAACAGAAACTGAGCTGAGCACATAAACAAGAGAAGAAAACCACATCAAATTCAAAAAAAAAAAAAAAAAAAAAAAAAAGAAAGAAAGAAAGAAAGTGAGAAAAAGAACCAAAAAAAAAAAAAAACCCAGTTGATAAATTGTTGCTCAAAAGTATTATTGGTGGTGGGTTTTCCCACTCTTCTTCAATGGTGGGTTCATTCTCTACACAAACTCAAGGTCTAAAACGAGCTCCAATAACCACTGCCTTGCACAACCCAACTTCTTCATCTAATAGGCCTTTAACTTCCCAATTATCATCATTCAAGGTAAACTTGATTCCTATCATCCCTATAATTCAATAAACGTTTTTTTTTTTTTTTTGACATATCCAATTGTTAATACTTTTTTATATTTTAGCTTATTTCTTACATATGTTGGTGATTCTTTTATTTATTTATTTATTTATTCAGAACCCCATTATAGATTCTTGTGGATTTTCTTCAAAACAAGCTTCTTTTATAAGGGGTCTGTTTTGTAGCAGACTTCTCCTTGGGTTTAGTTCCAATGGTGCTCGAAGAAGAAAGCAAGTAGGTATGTATTTTTGGTTGTTTCTATAGTTTTCCTTATCTTATCAATTACGTTATTAAGTTATAATCACAAAGAAAAATACTTGGGTCACCGGTAGCGACCAACACAACAACTAATAGAAAGTGAGCCATATCTGTAGGGTCCGTGCTTTAAGACCCCTCGTTCTATCAATGTATGAGGCTGGACAATAGAAAAATGCAATTGTAAAGAAAAATGCTTGAGGCACTTGTGTTATGAGTCTTACTTGTGAGGCTCATGCTGTCAGATCCACCATTTATTAATGTGTGGTGTTAGACGATATTAGTGTCCTAGCATTATTCAATTAAAAAAAAATTAACAATTCTAAAAAGCACCAATAGTACTGAACATCACACAAAAATAGAAAGTGAGTCCTACAATATGGGCCTACAAATAGGACCACATTTTATTATTGTGGTGTTGGGAATTGGGGGTGCCTCGAAGCATTTTTATAAAATACCATATTTCTAAAAATAGTAAAATATTGCTTGTGTCCACCAATGGATGTTTCCCATGTAATTGGTAGGAGTAATACTAAATAAATTATATATCATAAGTAGTACAGGTACAACATCTATGTAAACAAAGTCCCACATTGATGCACTTCAAAATTCATAGGACTGGTTCTCACCAGAGTAAATTTTATAACATATATACCATTGGAATCTGTTAAAACCAAGCACTATATGTAGTACTCATTCTTGTACCTAACACTTCATAATTCCATTAATATGAGGATTTGCATCATTCTTCAAGATTTGTTCTTCATCTAGTGAGAATACATATTCTTTTGTTTTTCCTTTACTTATGAAACTTTTTTCTTTTTCTTTCTTATTTTGAAATGGTGAAGGACTTGTGGTGTCACCAAGTTGTGTCCTTCCCTTAACTGAAGAGAATGTGGAGAAGGTTTTGGATGAGGTAAGGCCTGGCCTGATGGCTGATGGCGGAAACGTTGCGCTGCACGAGATAGATGGCCTTGTCGTGGTACTCAAGTTGCAAGGAGCTTGCGGCTCCTGCCCGAGTTCAACAATGACACTAAAGATGGGAATCGAAACTCGGCTGCGAGATAAAATACCAGAAATAATGGCGGTGGAACAGATTCTGGACACCGAGACTGGCCTTGAGTTAAATGAAGAAAATGTGGAAAAGGTTAGACAAAGTATGAAACCTTGCCAATATTTATTTCTCCAATTGTGTAGCATCACGCAGTTCCTTTTTCCGTTAAGATTTTAATAGTCGGATGGACAAAAGAACTAATTTAGGACAACTTGGTTGATCTATGACTCGTTCTGAGAAGTTTCAAAAGGCACGGACCAAAACGTGATTCGGCCTATAGTTCAGATACTAATTAAGTGCTAACTTATCAATTTCTCTGCCAATTCATCACAAGAAACATTCACACCGTTTGCTTTTACACATGTCTATGAATACTGTACAAGCATTCATTTAACTTAGTTTTTGATGCAAAGAGTTTTTTTTTTTATTATTATTTGTTCTTATCAGAAAGAAAATTTTGCTCTTTTTTCAGCTTCTTGCAGAGATTAGACCGTATCTTGCAGGGACAGGAGGGGGAATACTTGAGCTAGTACAAATTGACGGTTATGTCGTCAAAGTTCGGCTTAGTGGCCCTGCAGCGGGGGTTATGACTGTTCGAGTTGCGTTAACACAAAAATTGAGGGAAAAAATTCCTGCCATTGCGGCCGTCCAGCTGCTAGAGTGATACACCAAAACATATACCTTTGCAGAGAAAAGAGAAGTAGTTGAATATCCATTTTTATTCAGAAAGCAAGAGTGAAACTATACCTTTTCGCAGCAATGTACTGATAGTTCCACGAGATTTTGTACCTATTTCCCCTATGCCTAATGAGAAGATGTATAATTTTCGGAAATGAGAAAAGTGAGGTGAAATATTCATGTGCATATACCGTCTGCTTTTCGATCTCTCAATACCCTCTTCAAATTTCAAGTTTAACTTCTGAGAGCATTTTATCTGTATTACCGAAATCCCAGGTTGATATTGTATCCTAATTAGAAATGAAAGCTCTAAAGAGAATTTTTGTTTTTGTTTACATATGATTTTTTTGTTACGAACCAAGATTTTCTTCCTACGACGAAACTAATGATCTCTGCGGAATTAGGCGCACAACTAGGAGGAACACAAGCTTAAAAGATGCATCCCGTCACTGCATAACGAGGCTGCGCAACTCTGTCCTCCATAGGAAAGCTCTTGTCATGACATAACCAACATGAGATCTGATATTAATGTGCAGGGAGGTGAAAAATGAGTACTTCTACAATCTATAATCTTGAATTTGCATAATATAATTACAATACGTATAAAATTGTTGCACTCTAATATTAAAAAGCCGTATGTTAGAACAGAACTGGATTTAATTCAAGTATTCTGTAGCCACTGAGTTGAGTATTTAAGGTATTACACAAGTATAAGACAGTTTTATGTCAATAGTAATCATCATCATCATCATTTCTTCTTGATCTGAAAAATCTCCGCACAACAGCAGCAACGGCACCAAGAAAAAGAAACAGAGCTAAAGTGTCGAAACCGCCACCAATGCCGACAGCAACGCTGGGACCTGGAGCAAAGAAAGAAAATGGCGACCATCCCCAACCACCGAAGAACGGTACGCCATAACCATAACCATAACCACCAACTAAAGGTGGGGCAACAGGAGGATTTATGTAGATGTTGGTCCTGCAAAATAAAACATAACTCGACATTAAAGATTAAATTTAACATACATGATGTTTGAGAAAATAGACAGATTAGCACAGGCATCTACTTCTACAAATGATGTCATGTTCTCATATTATGACATAATGCGAGTGAAAGCAAAAAACTAAGAAAGGATAAATGTTATAATTTCAAATTATCTGAAAATGCAATGCTAAAAACAAATTGACAAAACCCCAAAAACAATTTCTGATGATTCCACTACTCAGATAACTTTAACAAGTTTGCTTGTGGGGGCTCTTTTTTGGATTACTTTTACTGTTTTTACAGCCTAAGCAGCAAGTATACTTACAAAGGGAAAAAATGTCTATAAAAAAGCTGAATGAGATATTTATTTGTGTGCTCCCATGTATATATAAGACTTCTCAAACTGCAACAAATTTTCAAAGAAAAAACCCCTTTTTGACCCAAAAAAAAAAAAACAGTTTGAAGTTTGAAGCTACTATGCCTCTTACAAAACATAAACTAATTATAAACTGATTAACTTGATGATTTGTCACTAATCAATATTAATTAGTGATTAATTAATATAAGTTAGGAATTAATCAATTTCAATCAACAAATTACGGGTTTCTCAGTGATAAACAATTGGTAAAAATGATGATGAACCAACTTATCACTGATTGATCTCGGCCCGTTTGTTTCACCGGTTTAACTTAATTCAACTCAATTAGAATGGTGAGCTGAGCTCGGCTTGAACTCGTGTTTGGTAAGTATGCAGTCTGAATTGTATTCTTTATTCGAACTGAGTTAAACTGTCCAAATTAAAGATTATCTCTCCCCTCAAATTCAACTGTTAAAACTATTTTTAAATAGTAAAATGATGCTCACGCTCTCTGCTATTCACATCTACCAAACACAATTTCAGATTTTATTTTTTCTTTAAATTCGAATTTAACTACAACCATGTAGTTTAGATTTTTTTATTCAAATCAATAAAAATCGAATAAGCAAACCAAATGGTTTATCACTGACTAACTACTGTAGAAAAAAATGGTAATTTCTTTTGAAAAAAGGGTTCGGTCATTTTTCTAAAAAATAACGTTTTGGTCATGTATTGAAAAAGTTGGTCATATACTTATAAAATGGTGGAAAAAAAAGTCATTTGCCAAATTTTCCTGTAAATGAAATAGTAATAACTTTTATCTTAGAAAATTCACTCTTTTGGAGTTTAATAAAAGAAATGTTATGCATTATTGCTATACTAAGGGGAAAAAAAAATCCTAGTAAAAGATACAGTTTTGAAACCTTAAATTCTCACCCGCAAAATTGGCAAAATCCTGCTACAGAATTCCCCATTTCAAGACTCAAATGATCACAAAACTAAAAAAGCTCATGAACATTTCAACTTAGATTAAAATCTCATTCATTTTACAGATTTAAATTTTTAGAGTTAAAAATTTTTAAAAAATATTACGTTAAACATTTTTTATCATAATTAAAAATTTTTAAAAAATATTAAATCTTAATTTAAATTAAAAAATTAAATCTGCAAAGCGAATGAGTTATAATTCATCCAAAACTCTTAACTTACCTCGAATTGTTGTTATTGATTCTAGGGGACGACCGAGGTGCCGAAGAACGGAACGCCTGGCCACCAACCCGACCGCCAGTCTTCGCGGCCGACGCATCGGAAACCGATCCCAGCGTCAGCACCCCAGCTGCCAATGTAACTGCAGCCAGCTTCACTAGCTTGTTCTCCTTCTTCCTATGTCATATGGATTCCAATTTTCATACTTGCAAAAGAAAAACCAAAAGATTTCAAGAAAAAGTAAAGAAAACCCATGATTTTATTACCTGGGAGAATCTTTCTGGTCGTCTTGTTGGTGTCTGAATGAGATTGTTCTGTACTGAGCGCAACTGGGAATCTTGGTTTTGAGCTTCTGAGTTGGTGAAGAAAGAGCGTTGGCTAGAAAGCTTTGCTGGGATGAGGCTAACGACATTTTTTTTTTTTTAGCTTCTTGTTGTTGTTGTTGTTTTTTCTTCTATCCTTGGATTGTTTCCAAATTTTCTGTTTCTTTTTTTTTTTCTTTTTGATCGATATCTATATATCTATATATGTAATAAACAGAGATGACAGAATATAGATGCAGATTTTCATTCTGCGTTTTCTGTTGCTGGCTTCTCAGTAGTCATTACTTCGATAAAATTAATATTCATCTTTATTTCTGATGATGAGTTTGCCAAGTGGCGTTATTTTAGTGGATGAGTAGAAGATTCGAAGAGCATTTATCTAGAATAGAGGTGACAATTCGTTTTTCATTTGTATCTTATACAGATGTATTATAGGAGTTTAGAATTTTAATTTTGTTATAATAAAAAATTTTTAAAAATAATTATATTTTATTATAATAGAAAGTTCTTATATGAAATTATATGTAAATCAGTGAACTAAATGAGTTTTAATTTTTAAGAGATTTGCATGTACGACTAATTTATTAGTAAGTTAGATATTTTTAACCGTTAAATCTGTATACATTTTAATTTTTACGTGATTTTATATAAATTTAACACATTAAAAACTTAATAAATTTTTTTATGTACAGTCTTTTTCATTAATTAATTTTTTTTTTTTTTTTAGAGAAGTGGGTATATATTTTGCGGCTGAGGTATAATATCTAAAGTGACAAAAAGATTCCATAGTTAATGCAACTATATATCTATATGTCCTTAAACATTAGTTTGAAATAAAATATTTTGAGACGTACTTGTTACAGGTAAAGTTGGAATCCTTCCATTTAGAAGGTGGTGGACCAAATCCTTTGTCATCAAAGGTACTCGACTCCGGCCAGATTCCGGAGTCGAACATTCCGATGATGATGTCGGTTTCGACTGTGCTTCTCTTAACTTGCTGCGGAAACCCAATGAAATCCCATGACCTTGTTGTGTGCAGCTTCTTCTTTCGGTTAGGGAACACAGAGACTACGCCTTCCATCCCTAAATCCAAAGAAAATCAGCTTCCAAAAACAGGGGATATTCATATAATTCCAATCTTTCAAACATAGCAATGTGAAAAGAAAAGAAAAGAAAAGAAAAAGCAGCCAAAATTCACATACTAGCCATTTTTTGGGCTTCTTCCTTGGTTAGCTTAGCGGCAAATCCATTGAAACTTCTCTTGTAGCTGCGGAGAAGAGATCCTGCCACAATATGGCTAAACCAAACAAAATAATGATGGTCTAAACTCATTTATTGAGAGATGTCATAGAAGGCTTTTTTGAACATGCCTTTAATATATATTAGTTGATGATTATGTTTCTAAATAAACATGTTATTCCTAGTTCTTTTGAATGCATCATATACTTATAAAACTTTTTTATGTATGATTATCAAAACAAATAATTTTTGGAACACATTTTCTACTCTGACAAACTTCAAAAGTACGTTAAAAAATTTAAACTCCGTTCATTTCACTAATTCGAATTTAGAATTTAAGTTTTACTACAGTAAAAAGCTTATAGAAATAGTCACATCTAACTTTTTTGCTATAGTTAAAGCTCTCACATAAAGTCACATCTCAATTCGAATTAAAAACTCGAATCAGCGAACTAAACGAACCCTAATTATACAATGCAAAACTTTCTGTCACCTTTTGTCAATGACTTTTTGGAGCATATTTAGGTGAAGGGGGGATGTGGAAACCTCGTCCTTTGGCAAGTCCCCCATGAATAAAATATAAGGCTGCATAAATTATGTCCACAAAAAAAAAAAAAAAAAAAAAAAACACACAGAGATCATATATAAGCCTGCATAAATTATGTCCACAAAAAGAAAAAAGAAAACGAAAAAAACACCACAGAGATCAGATCATGAACTATATTAATTCTGCTACTCCTAAATGCCAAATTTTCAAATGGATTGCCTTTGCATAATTAATGAATAAAAGATGTGAAGGAGTAAGTAATTTTGCCTTTCGTTCGTCTTGAGCTGCTGAGTGATGAATACTCAGCAGAGTGAGAGTGAGGCTGAGGAGGAGAATCCATGAAAAAGCCATTTGCACGGATTGGCTTAATTAATTAATGGACATGGCAAGTTTTTCTGAAGATTTATATTGAATGGACCAAAGTAGATTTGTAGATGTGAAAAAAAAAACCATCCTAAGCTAATTAAAATTTAGATAACTTTTTCGTGGGTATCAAGAGAAATTTCATGACTTTTAATTATGAAACATTAACTAACTTTTTCGTGGGTGTCAGGAGAAATTTCATGACTTTTAATTATGAAACATTAACTAACTTTCATGACATTTTAATTCACGTAATATAATATTATTAGAAATTTGGAATGATATAAAAGATAATACGAATAAAGGGATACATGAGTTGTTCCCACATGCATAGCTAAGAAAACAGTAAGAGCCAATTATAAGATTTTTTTTCTTCAACTAAAAAAAAAAAAAAAAAAAAAAAAAAAAAAAAAAAAAAAAATAGGATTAATCAAACGGAAACTTTGCTTGTCCCAATACCTGCCGACTTTTAGAAACTTTTCCGGAAATGTATTTAATTCAGAATGATAGATAATCCACACTTCTTTTTCTCCGCAAATTGATGTAAGTTTCACCATCTTTTATAGACAAAAACTAGTGTGTTTTTTAAGCATATCTATATGTTGTTTTCTCTCTCAATCATAAACGGCCTAAAGAAGACCATTTGACCAGAATCTTTTGGATACTTCTCAAGATTGCAAAAAAGCGTCAATGCCCATTGGTTTCTCCCTATCCAAAATTAGTATATTTTCGATGGAGTATGTAAATTTTAGCAAATTAAAACATAATGTTAAAGCTTTAAATTTTCACTCAAAGTTCAAAAAATATATTTTCCCTATCCCTTCTCTTTTGAGTATGCAAACCACCATAACGGACGATTATTATAAGCATTTTGTTGGGCTTGTGGCTTTAATTAAGCGGGAGAAAGAGAGAAATAGGTCAAGACTTGATATGCATTAAAATTAATAGGTCAATAGTTTACATAAGTTAATAAATAGGCTAAATTACTATTTTCGTCCATAACTTGTCTGATTATGAACCATAACTTGACAAGTTATTGTCCATAATTGTCCATAACTTATCTGGCTATGAACCATAACTTGACAAGTTTGTTCATAACTTATCTGGTTGTGAACCATAACTTAACAAGTTATGGCCTATTAATTTCTATAACTAAAAATTGGCCTATATACTTTCTTAAGCTTATCATATTGGCCTATTTTCTACTATTTCCCTGTTGGGAATGGTGTCCTAGAAGCATGAGATGTAATAGGATATTTATTATTTATTTAATAAAAGAGTTTATTCATTATTTTATGTGCATATATTTATGAATATCAATGAAAATTCCATGATTATTTATGTGACCCTAAACATTGTATATAAGTGTTATATATGAGAGGATAATGTTTAAGGATAATAATCAAAAAGCAATGTTCATAATGAATTTAATTAAAGTTCAGAATCTTTAATTAAAACATTATTAATACATGTCATTCCCATTTAGAATGGAACGGTGTTATCCACACTGTTAATATGGTGAGATATTGAATGAGTGTATTTCGCATAATGAGATTATGTGGAACAAGGACACAGACACAATATGAATTTCTAATCATTTCCGTTAAGTATAAAAATTCTAATTGAGT